CCTGTTCCTCTGTGACTTCTTCCAAACTTCCAAGACATAAAGTCCTCTTTGGGCTTGGTGAAAAATTAGATATATGGTAAGTCAGGTGTTTAAAATATCAGTTTTATTGAGCTATAACTCATGGACAATAAAATGGAATCTCAACGTTCAACGGTTCGGTGTTGGATGAGTTTTGACAGCAGTATGCACTTGCGTAATCACTTCTCCAACAAGATACAGAACACTCCGTCACCCCAGAATGTTCTCTCTTGCTCTCTCCCAGTCAGTCCCCGCCCCACCCCACAACCACCCCCCCACCACCATCAGTACAGAGTCCTTTAGCCTGTTTTAGAACTTCAGGGTTCTCCAGAGAAACAGAGACAATTGAATGTATGTGTATATGTTGAGACTTATTTTAAGAAATTGGCTCATGTGATTGTGGGAGATGGCAAGTCTGAAATCCACATGGCAGGCCAGGAACTCGGGCAACAGCTGGAGTTACAGGTTGAGGCAGAATTCCTTCTCCGAGCAACTTCAGTACTTGCTCACAAAGCTTTCAGCTGATGGGGTGAGGTCCACCCACATGGTCAGGGGTCATCTCCTTCTCTTAAGGTCAACTGATCACAGATGTCAATCGAAACTGCAAAATACCTTCACAGCAACACCTAGATTCATCTGAGCTTTAATAACTGTACTGCACCCTAGTCAAGCTGACAAAGACTCACAGTCTTCATGCACTTGGAATCACACAGTCACCCAAGTCGTTTGTATCAGCGAGTAGCAGTCTCTCGTATAAGGACAGTAGACTAGACCCCAATACACACCAGGCATTTCACAGTTTGGCCATGAGATCTGAAAATAATAAAACAAGAAAATTGCCTTTCAATACCCAGGGACTTGTAAACACCAGTTCAAATCCAGAGTAACTCACTGAGATTTCAATTCCCTAGCATCCTTAAAATGGAATAGTTAAAAAAATCTCTGGATACCAGTTGATGCCCAGTGGGACACAAGGAAAACAGCTCACTATTTTCAGGAATATGTTACTTTTGTGCTGTTTTAAAGTTTTAACTTAATGGTAGCTAATTAACCAAAGAACACAGTCTAAACTAAAACTGATTATTTTGCTGTCACTTCAAAAGACTTATGGTTAACATAAATTAAAGCAATTGCATAGGAAAGTCTGAGGCCAACTCAGGTTTTCAACTGCTCAGGGAAAGACTAGCCAAATCTATCAGTAAAAAAGGGAAATTATAGCCCCACTTCTCCGCTCCTCTTGAAAACAACGG